GCTGCATCCTTCAATAAAACACTTATACCTCTAATCCTGCAATTTTACCGCATGTGATTGCCTTCAATTGGACGCATGCCATGCAAGTGCATTGTTCTTGAACTGCAAGTAATGTGAAAGTTAAAACCAGATTCGAGCCTAATCAAGCTTCCTCTTGTTCGGCGATATTTCTCGTCCCTCCTCTCTCTAATCCTAACCAACAACCACAAATAATTTTTACTTAATTTCCTACAATAATTTCTTCTATTTAGTGCGTTGGCTGTCTTGTTGATTTCTATCGCCTCCCTATTCTTTTTTTTACCGGTATGGTCTTTATATCCAGCTAAGCGTTTGGCCTTAAACCAACCTATATGCTAGGTTAATTTTGCTTTTTGGACTCACAGACCTTTACAGGTTGTTTAGCGTCCGGATAACCTCATATGTAAGGGCCTGCAGGTCTCTCCTAAATATTCTGTACAGCATGAATAGAAAATCTTGTAATAGCCTGATCTGGAGAGAGGATAAGTATATTCTCAAGAAAGGCAGTACTGAGGAAAGTGTTATATCCTCTTTATAAATGATCGTGATTTTCCACCTCGTAAGTAATTCGCTTATCTTCTGGGCCTGTTACAAGATTTTCTTCCCCTGCGGTACCACCTATGTGGGAGAACGTGTAGGCGCATAACTGAGAGATTATATGGATCCAAAAAAGCATTCAAAGATTTGTAGGCCAAAAAATATGAATTCGTCGAACGCATGACTCGCAAAGGATAATATACAATCTCATACAGATAAATAAATATCCACAAAGCCCATCTCCGTTGTGCAGACACAAGTAGGCATACGCCGTGTTTCTGGGAGGATTCCAAATATCAATTAGTGTCGGAACAATATAAGATTAAATAGCAGCCCCAATAGATCTATAAAGAATCTGTTAGTGCTCAGTTCAAAATTTTTGCTCTCGCTCATTTTATGCAAGAATGGGAACTACATTATTGTTAGCAGATGTATAATGGGGTTAGTGCATATATCATAGTTTGAGTAAAATAATTTTTGTCTTTAATACCCTTGCAATAAAATAACTACAGAGAGACAATTTTAAAATCTTAATCTAAAATGTAAAATGCAACTATATATCTTGCTGTAAGATAGCAGAATAACATTTTAAAGCGAGGAATCAACGGGATCAAGATAAAGAATAAAACATATAAAATAGTACGCCAAACTCATCCCTTAAATAATAGGTTAATTGGTTCATCAGCTAGCATACTTTCAGAAACAATATAAGCCTTTAAAAACAGACTTAAGAACGATACCAGCAGTGGAATTAGAGGTAGGGGATCAAGGGTAAGTAGTGGTTTTAAAATATCATAGATAAGATAAGTTGGAATAATACTCATCAGCATAGAGTAATTTAATAGCATTAATAAAAACAAATGAAAAATCAAGGATATATTATTTAAAATATCTCACAACATCAATTAAACAAAGGAACAGCTAACGTTATATTAAACTGTTTTATATTGAAAATGGCAAAGTTTGAAAAAATAAAACACAACTTTTTATTTAAGAGATAATAACTCTGTTAAACAGATGAAATTAAAGCGCTTGCTTCGCTGAAAAGCCCCTCTCAACTTGAATGGCCTCTGTAGAGTAACCTCATTATTTTGCTATTGTAGCGATGACAAATCAAAATTAAGGGCTTATATTAATAAAAGGCTGGTAGAAACGGGACAACGAGAGAAATTGAAAGATTTACTCCGAACTCGGTTGAGTGAATGTGGCTGGCGTGAAGACCTAAAAATGCATTGCCAGGGTACGGTTAGAATGTAATGTTTTTCTTCGCCATTGAAAAATAATTCGAGGCTCCTTTTTTTAATTTTAAAACAAGTCTTTTTCTTATCCAGAAGTTATCAAAAAAGCAGGACTGAAAGAGGTGACTGTCCACGATCTCGTCACAGAAATTACCCCGCTCGGACGAAGAATGGTTCCAGACTCTGTGAAGCAAGAGTTGCTAGAGGAAATCCGTGAATTTTTGGCAAAGGAGACAACTTTCTAGTCTTTTGTTCCTCTTTCTGCTTTGATCAAGTTTTGGGATTTAAGGATCTGGTTCTTTTGTATCAAATTTCTTATGACGAATGGAAATCTGCAGAATAACGAACTTTCTACGATTTATATGACTGATCATATTCTGCATTTCTAATTTGCCTTGGGGTCGTGTCAGTAACTCGACATTTTCTTACGAAATTTGTTTTTCTTTTATCGCACATGAAATTTCAGATAATTATTTAAATGAATCCCTTGCATTACCCGGTTTCGTCATCTAGGTTATGGCTTCTAGCTTGACGGCTGATACATCCATTTACTCTCCAGAATTATAATTAAAAAGGAATACAATTTGTTCATAGTACGAGAAAGTTCATCTTGGATCTTTAAAAATGATCGAACTTTTGATAAGATCCAATCTTCATGAAAGACAAAAATTATTGCAGTATGTGACTAATGTGCTCTTAATTACATAGTCATACTTTACTTTCAATCCATATATAAAGTTCATTGATATTGGGGTGGCTCTTATTTCGTTTGAAGATGCGGCTGGAAGAGATTCGTATTTCGGCTTAAACGCAAGCCAGAGGCTAACTGACTAGATTTGCATGAATAAATCTTCGGCTAACCAGACTACGACTTCATAAATGCGGGGTTCATTTTTAAACTATCTCTCCCATACTTATGGGGGTCAAGTTAGTGGTCATTGTGGTGCATGATAAAGACCTCGCGTCCTGAATGTTGGGAATCTTGGGGGTTAAAAAGTATAATCTGGGAATATACAGCAATTGGTACAGTGGAAGGCTTCGATTTTGTAGCAGCGTGAGTGGCTGGACTATCCTATTTGAGTCGTAGAAAAGAAAGGCGAACTACTCGGAAAGTGGGGCAATGCGATGTATAAGTAAACTTATACACTACTCAGGGGTGTAATCTTTTAGGAGACTTTTGGGCCTTCTAAATCTGGGATTCACGTCTTATTGTGCCCATGTGGAGATGCTTGTCTGCCGATCCGTATATGGGGGGTTATCTAAAAGGCTTGTGTGACCAAAAATAAAGTCCACGTAGCCCGCATGCGACGCGGTATGGACGGTCTGAAGCTAAACGCTTGGATGGATGTGGAAATAAACGAGGCATTATAGAATGGGGTTCAGCAGTGAATATGTGATTGGAGAGGCGGAACGAGAATTGCAGCTGAGCTGGACTTGATTTACCTCATCTCGCCTCATGGTTATTGCATGGACACAGCACGTATGCAATTGGGCACAATCATGTGCGCAAGCTAAAAATATAAATAGCTTAATACTAGATGCAGATGTTCTATCACAGTTGCACCTACTTAACGTTTCACCTGCATCCACTTTACCTCGTCCGCAGCCCCTTCACTTTTCAGCAATAACAAAGGAAAAGCCTAAGTTGTTCAACCCATTCATGAGGCGTCTTATGGACGGTAGGTGGGATTGAAACTGGTCATCTTTCTTGTCTTCATGCTTGGGTGGATTGCCATAAAACACTATGTTTGTCAGGTCACAGATAAAAGCTCAGCCGGGATTTATCGCGGGTCGGCAAGTATGGGGAGTATGCGCAAAAATCTAGTCAGCTCCAAGACAATTCGCCTAAGGTTTCAAGTAAGTTTGACTCATTAACCCTTTCCACTCGCTTCTTTAAACGAATTGAAGGGTTATCCAATATTAACCCATTGGGGGATTCATCAAATCCAATTTTTCATACGTATCTACGTCAAAACTATTTGCTACTTAGGCAAATCTGACTCAAATTTATTTCCGATTGCAATTATTTTCTTGCAGATGACATACTTGATCTCATTCTAATGGCGATATTTCTTTCGGACCTTATAACGCAGGACATAGTACCGATGAGTTATGCTACGAGTAGTGTTGACTGAGCTGAGGACTGCTTTTGACTGTGATTAGGGGTGCCGTGATTTCCAACGGATTGCTTCTGCTTTTTTTTTACTCTTGTGGAGGTTAGGAAATCATAACCAAGGTTTTTTGAGCCTTCTTTGGTGATCATCCCATGCACTGATGATGCTTGGTGCATGACAGGTTGAATATAGATTTTTTGTACATAAGTAGAGTTTTGAGACTACCAGTAAATCATTATATGAGATGTATTCACCCTATTTCGTTTAAGGTGACGAAGGACTGGTAGTAGAATTTTTCCACAATGATCTGGCCAGCATATCCTTTTAGCTTTTAATTGCTCATCCTACGTCTCACCCCGGGTAAATTTTTGGCCAATTCCAAATTTTACTCCTCTAAAACGCAGTCGCGTTTTCTTGATTTCCCTTTGTCCCTCATGAGCTGCACCTTGATTATGTCTCTTCCTGTTGAATAAAAGTTGTCTTGTCTGCTGAATCTCCAGGCGGTATGCAAAATTATTGCTGACTCACCCATGTTCATCAGATTCTTTTGAAAGAGGGTGCCCAAAGCCTCCTTGATCTTCCGTTTTCTGGTGTTTTCCTCATATGAGGCCAGTCTTTCCGCTGCACTACAGGCAATTGTGTGGCCGGTAAGGGCGATGTGTTCAGGTATCTCCAGGACACGAAAGGTCAGGGAGGCTGTAAGCACACTCTTTCAAAGGAACCTGATGAACAAGGGATTAGAACAGGGAAGAGTCAGCGATAATTTTGCGTACTGCCTGGGTAGACTTGGAGATTTAGCGAAGACAAGACAACTTGTATCCACCTGGAAGAGATATAATCAAGGTGTAGCTCATGAGGGACAAAAGGGAATAAAGTAAAGGCGACTGCGTTTTAGAGAAGTAAAATCTGGAATTGGCCAAAAAATCACACGGAGTAAGACGTAGGATTTGCAATTAAAAACTAAAGATATATGCTGGCCAGATAGAGGTCGCCAGCGAGTGTGCGTGATTGCTTGCGCACATTTTCCGTGTCTATGCCTGAAGGGGAGGGGACTGGTAACGTGCTCGACCATGGGATTTTCAAACATCAAGTACATTAACATCATAGTACTCTAGGCTTAGATAGGAGTGTCACCTTGAAGGACCAGAGTAGAGTACCTTTTGCAATTCAGGAGGAAGAAGGGGAGCGGTGCATTTTTGCACCAGAGCTTATGACTTAAGCCGGACACAGTCTCAAAGAGCGAAAGACGATGTGGGTGGGGTTGAGAGAGGATAGTCGAGTCATGTGTTTGACGCCTAGAGAGAGCAAGATTGCCAGGCATTGGCATGGACATAGGCATCATCTGCTCTAAATCCTCGAATATGGCGTAATAGGAGAGGGGAATTGAAGGCTCTTAGGCATCCAGATTTCAAACAGCCGAAACAGTGATTTTTAGGTTCAGCAGCGAGCAATTGAAAAGCGGGGTAGGAAAAAAAGGAGGGTAAAATCCAAGTCAGGAGGCCTACAAACAGCACCTGGTACCGGTGGCTTTGCCAAACCAACTTGTAGCGACACCTTGTGTGATATTGGAGGAAACGAGCACACAGAATTGTTTGAATTGGTAGATTGTACATATAGAATTGCGTGAGAGAAAGACATGCAAAGCTAGGAGGTAGAATAAAAATGGGGGCGAAGAGATATTCCACAACGGTTGAACAGAAATTGGTCAATGTGATTGCCTTCTCTAATCAGTTTGATAAGTTGTAGCTCTGTGCTAAAGATGGTGCCTCTCATTGACGATGCCAGCGAAACGGTTAAAATGCAAAAGATCAATGGTCCGATGATGGACACAGGACCAGTTTCACTCCAGAAGGTCTCCCTGACGTTCCGACCAACCTACGAAAACGACGTCAAACCAACACTATGAAGCCAAGGGAGACTGCGACCAACAGAAGGCCACACTATCTTGGTCTTTATATATACGATTTATTTTTTATTTACTAAAATATGTAATAAGGAAAGACAAACTTTATATTTCATTGGTAAGTAAATTTGAACAGTGTATTAGGCATTTTTTCGGTTGCTCTTAAAACATTCCTTCTGTTCATATACTAGTAAATATAAACGTGATAAATTTAATTGTAGCAACTTGTCGAATTTCGCATAGATAAAGCCATACTCTATATGCGGAACCTACGTCTATATTTTTACTATGAAAATCGTCGAGATGATTAAAGGACTTCGGATATTTTAAGTTCATAAAGATTTCTAAAGGTGATCATTTCTTCCATTTGATATATGCTAGATAAACAGCCTTGTGGAAATGTCCGGCTTCTAAGAAAACTACCATGGAGGGACGATATCATCAATTTC